TGTGTCCGTCCGTCCCCTTTGTCACCCGCTGTCTCTGTTTTTGCATGTTTGTAAGCGTGTGCACGCTCGTGTGTATTCTGTTACCTATTTCAATGTCTATCTTATAAACATGCATTTCACACTTGTAAATTCCTGCTTACATGTAGCAAATTGACATGCAACAAACTCACCAATGAGATAACCGTCATCTATGGCATTGTCAGTAGGCGGTTCGCTGTCGCACGTAGAAGACTCGAGTTCAAACCTTGAGTGGTGTGGAATTTCGATTCATTATCTCATGGTTTGTTTTTTTCTGAAACGTTGCATCCCTCCTTAACTGGACTGGTCCTGACAGGCAATCTTGAACAGCAATAAATTATTATTAAAAAAACAACAACAAACAAACACAGCACAAACAAAAAACAAATGAGATGACCTCCCGCTCTATGTGTCTGACCAGGGGGAGATGGAGAGCGCCACCTTCGGCCAGGGGAGACTGGGTGTCCTTGAGGCGCTTGCTGTCCAGCAGTCCAAGGTCAAGGACATCATGAAGTTCCAGGGAGACATCGAGTCTGTGCTGAGGGCGGAGGTTAGTGATGTCATCATAACAAAATCTATGTTGTCGATGTTATAGTTATTGTTGTTGTTTTTGGTGGTGTTATTTTTGTTGGTGGTGTTGATGGTGTTGGTGTTGTTGGTGGTGATGTTGTTATTGTTGATTTTTGTTGTTTCTAATTTACTTGTTGCTGTTGCTGCTGGTGGTGATGGCGGTGGTTGTGGCACGTCTACAGATTGTTGTTGTTTGTAGCATTTCTACGGATTGCTGTTTATTTTGTTGTTTTTACTATTGTTACTGTTATTGTTTTTGTTTGTTAAGTGTAGCGCCCAACTAAATACAGGTTTAGTTATTATGCAGAGATAGAAGAGTAAAATTACAACTGGAGAGTTTTTGAACATTCGGAGAAAAGGGGAATGTGGGTTCTCGTATAGGGTTATTTATCAGCAGTTCAAGTAAAGTTTGTTAAATAAGTACATGCAAGTTCTCTTTAATTGCAACATTAAAATAAGAATAAAAACTGCGCTTCTTTTTTATCTACTAAACACAAAAGCGTCACCTGATAAGAATGGGCAGGGTCAATTGTAGTGCATCAATCACAGGACTGTCAACGGGAAGAAATGGGGTGCCATAATAGCCAATGTCTGCTCCAGACTTGTCACCTAAATAAGAATATAAATAGGGTAAAACGTATAATATTATATAATGTCTTCTGTTGACGTTGCAATTTCAAAATTAATGTCCTCAAACTGTTTAAGATTTACACGAACTGACTGGGCGTTTGAATCACTATTACGATACCCTGAGGCAGCACACAGGGCAAAACAAAACAATATGGAAATTGAGGTAAAACAAATCAGGACACCCGCTAACACACCGCATTAAATGTTTTGGTTGTTATTTAGGATTCTTTTTAACTTCATGCTTTATATATCGTCGGCCAGCTCTTCAAATGTACTAGCCCAACATTTTTCTTTTCTTAAAAATTTGAAATATAGTTTTTCGCAGTTTCTTAATCTGTGATAAGTTTTTGTCCGAATTC